TGGAGTTTTGAGACTATGACCGCGGGTTCAACCCGGCCGGGGGTATGGTTTAGTGGTTACACTAGCCAGCTGAAGATTTCCACCCCCATGGCTCTTCTCTCTCTCTCTCTCACACACACACACACACACACACAGATGGGAGACAGCAACATGAGGTCACAGTTCGAAGTTGAAGACTCAGATGCATCACAGGGATGTTGGAAAGTATTTCTTCAGTCACAGAGTTGTCAGGAAGTGGAATAGTCTGGGAAGTGATGTAGTGGAGGCAGACTCCATGCATAGCTTTAAGAAGAGGTAAGAGGTATGATAAAGCTCATGGAGCAGGAAGAGTGACCTAGAAGCGACCAGTGAAGAGGCAGGGCCAGGAGCTATGACTCTACCCCTGTAACCACAATTAGGCGAGTACACACACACACACACACACACACACACACACCTTCATTTAGAACTAAGAATACACACTAAAAATGTTAGTTTAATAAATGGTAACTAATACATTTAGTACTGTGCTTCATGAGTGTTTTTTTTTTTTTTAGTAAACAGTGTAGTGTGAGGCCCGTGTCAAGTAACACTAGAAACATGTGACATGCATGTAATACGATATTCTCGCCAGAATTTCACCACAGTGGCGATACATAATCCATCGAGAGAAAATCAATTTCACTTGCGGTTTCTTGTGGCCTCCCATCCACCAGCACAAGAACATACATTAGGACCTTTTGATTACAAGTCTCTCCCACAAAATACCAACACAAGATTGTTGAACAAATCAATTTATTTCATTTGTATTATGACGCTGGTGAAGGGCTCTTGATTCGTCAAAGTCGAGTCATTCTCCTCTTCCTAGGAACACACCTGATTACCTCTCATTCCTTAGGCTCTGTACAACCCTTGTGAATTTAGCGCTTCCCCAGCAATATCAAAATAATTTACAACAATTCGGCTAAACTGTATTTATCTTCGCATGGAAACAAGAAAAACAGTACAAGATTTCATCTGTACAAGGACACATTATCTTGAGCGATAACAAGAGATAAAAAAAAAAACTTCAAAAAACAATCTGATTTATTGTTTGGGAGAATTTATAAAATCGTGATACACGTGCATGTTGTGATTCTGTTGAAATTCAAAAGACCCCAATGGAAATAAGTCGCTGACTTTTTTTGGGTTATCCTAGGCTCTCTACACATATGCTGTTATGTATGATAATCTATGTAACTGTGTGTATACCTGAATAAACTTACCTGAATGGAAATGAGTCACAGTGGCTATTAGGTTATCATGGGGTAAATCATCATAATGTACCACTGTTTAATAACAAAAACATCCATATGCCATCGGAACCATTTCACAAACTTATATTAATGTCCGTAAAGTGTAAATTTTACTGAATAAGGATTTAAGGTGTAATAACAGTAACTGAAATATCTATCTTCATGAAACAAGTGAATCTGACGCCTAGCAACCATGCTAAAATATGCTATAAATCATTGCGCATTGAAAAAAAAGCATCAATAAAATGCTACTTTAATGTTTTACTTTAGGGTATATTATTATTATTATTATAATCAAAAAGAAGCGCTAAGCCACAAGGACTATACAGACTTTAGGGTATAGTGGTTATTATAAATGGAGTGAAGAAGCCACTAGTGACGAAACATTTATTTTAATAAATATCATGAACTAGCTGGTTGATGGGGTTTAAAGCCTATGGTTGATGGGGTTTAAAGCCTATGGTTGATGGGGTTTAAAGCCTATGGTTGATGGGGTTTAAAGCCTATGGTTGATGGGGTTTTAAAGCCTATGGTTGATGGGGTTTAAAGCCTATGGTTGATGGGGTTTAAAGCCTATGGTTGATGGGGTTTAAAGCCTATGGTTGATGGGGTTTAAAGCCTATGGTTGATGGGGTTTAAAGCCTATGGTTGATGGGGTTTAAAGCCTATAGTTGATGGGTTTAAAGCCTATGGTTGATGGGGTTTAAAGCCTATGGTTGATGGGGTTTAAAGCCTATAGTTGATGGGGTTTAAAGCCTATGGTTGATGGGGTTTAAAGCCTATGGTTGATGGGGTTTAAAGCCTATGGTTGATGGGGTTTAAAGCCTATCATCCAAAAGACGGTAATTGTCACCTAAATTACTGGGAACGGTTGAAATCCCCCCCCCCAAAAAAAAAAAAAAAATCCCTTAACCTGTAATCCTTGAAACGCAGGCGAGATATATGATAATATACTGGAATATCCTGGAGGGACTTAGCCCAAATCTGCACACCGAATTCACTCCCTACGAAAGCAAGACTCGACAGGCGGTGGTTCGTACTTCGGTTTGCATGCGGCAAGTAGTAACAACCTAGTTCATCAGACCAGGAATACCTTAATCCCTAAAGCTGAATTAAACTCATTGTATATACCCTGGGAGATATAAACTCGGTGTACGTATCCAGCTCCTTGACTCGTACATACATCTTGCCTACAGAGAACACTGACCATAAATTTAAACTTTTACCTTTTTTCCATTGACAAAGAACACCAGAGTACCACTGGATGCTGCCTTCTCACACATGATGCACTGGTAACACTCCACCGAAAAGAAGAATAATGAGACAAACGACAAATGTCACCAACGAGACAATTAACGTAGAACTGATAACTGCGTCACCAGCTGCTCGCCCTTGGGTACTGACTGAGGCATCTTACCAAGGCAGTCAGGCAGACTTGTTATGTATCTCCTACTCCTTACCAGACTGGCTAGCATAATTGTCTTGGTGTCCTCAGTTTTTGCCATAGATTTGTGAATATGTGATGGTAATTATTTTAAATATTGATAATTACAGTAACTGATGAGAGATATATTTCTACCCTCGCGCTGTTAAAGGTATCCAATGGAAATGTCAAGGATCCCAGTGGAAACAAGTCACTGTGAGCTTTTTGAGTTTACCTGGGTAATCTACACATACGCTGTTATGTGTAATAATCTATGTAACTGTATTTATATGTACCTGTACCTGAATAAACTTACTTAGATATTACTAGATGTTGAGGAAGACATTTGTGTACAGTTCAGGAGATTAATGTTTCGTCCCTAGTGGCTTCTGCAGGACTGTAGAAGCTGCTAGATAAGATTTCGTTCGGATTTTTAACCCCGGAGGGTTAGCCACCCAGGATAACCCAAGAAAGTCAGTGCGTCATCGAGGACTGTCTAACTTATTTCCATTGTGGTCCTCAATCTTGTCCCCCAGGATGCGACCCACACCAGTCTACAAACACCCAGGTACCTATTTGCTGCTAGGTGAACAGGACAACAGGTGTAAGGAAACGTGTCGAAATAACAAAAAAAAAAAAAAAAAAAGGCACAATACCGTGACTGGAACGATGCACAAATAACCTGTATGTGAAGCGGGAGTTTTAGCCACCAGGCCACCAGTGGCTTCTGGACTGTAGAAGCCGCTTGTGAGTTGTGACGAAAAGTTACATCTAATAAATGTCCTGAACTGTACATAATAATAATAATAATATATTTTATTTGGACATGATACATAGTTGTACAAGGAATTATAGTAGTTGGGTGTACATGCCAAAAGCCCATTGTATTATCATACCATTTTTCATAACTGGAGTTTACCTGGAGAGAGTTTCGGGGGTCAACGCCCCCGCGGCCCGGTCTGTGACCAGGCCTCCTGGTGGATCAGCGCCTGATCAACCAGGCTGTTGCTGCTGGCTGCACGCAAACCAACGTACGAGCCACAGCCCGGCTGATCAGGAACTGACTTTAGGTGCTTGTCCAGTGCCAGCTTGAAGACTGCCAGGGGTCTGTTGGTAATCCCCCTTATGTGTGCTGGGAGGCAGTTGAACAGTCTCGGGCCCCTGACACTTATTGTATGGTCTCTTAACGTGCTAGTGACACCCCTGCTTTTCATTGGGGGATGGTGCATCGTCTGCACAGTCTTTTGCTTTCGTAGTGAGTGATTTTCGTGTGCAAGTTCGGTACTAGTCCCTCTAGGATTTTCCAGGTGTATATAATCATGTATCTCTCCCTCCTGCGTTCCAGGGAATACAGGTTTAGAAACCTCAAGCGCTCCCAGTAATTGAGGTGTTTTATCTCCGTTATGCGCGCCGTGAAGGTTCTCTGTACATTTTCTAGGTCGGCAATTTCACCTGCCTTGAAAGGTGCTGTTAGAGTGCAGCAATATTCCAGCCTAGATAGAACAAGTGACCTGAAGAGTGTCATCATGGGCTTGGCCTCCCTAGTTTTGAAGGTTCTCATTATCCATCCTGTCATTTTTCTAGCAGATGCGATTGATACAATGTTATGGTCCTTGAAGGTGAGATCCTCCGACATAATCTGTCCCTGCGATCCAAAAAAGTATCCCCGTATTGTATAACCCCAACCTACTGACCTGAAAGTGCGCGATTGGAATAGTGCAGAGTGCGGCTTAAGTTCTTAATGTAATTAAAAATTAACATTGAAGTTTTGATGAGAATCAGGAGGCAATCACAAGTTATCATATGGAAGCTAATGTCAATTTCTCTGATAAAAATTGAGAATTGAGACAGTCACAGCCCAAAACTAGCTCAAATCTTCCACAAAAAAGCACCAGGTTTAAAATCAAACTGAAGAGGCATGTATGCTGAGAAATTGTGTCCATATGTGTTGGAATACAAAGACAGGAAAAGGTGGGCTGTACTAAAGCTATTGGTAAATACTCAATACACATGGGAGGAAAAAAAATTATTACAATTCATTGGGAAGCGCTAAACTCGGAGGGGTAACATAGCAAATGGGGGGGGGGGAACTTGAGGGATTTAGATTCGATCCAAGGGAAGGGCACGGCCAATTCTTTGGATTAAGAGTCCTCTCACCAGCGTCAAGAACCTTCCCTTGTGAAGAATGGAATAAGTATGTGAATATGTATGTTTGGACGAGTGTAAGGAAAAAAGCCTCCAAGGCTTCGGCTCTGGTGGCTAAAGCTTTCGCTTCACACGGCGAGGGTCTGGGTTCTATTCCCAGCCAGGGTAGAAACATTGGGCACGTTTCTTTACACCTGTTGTCTATGTTCAGCCATCAGTAAAATGGATACCTTGGTGGTAGTGGACTGGTGTGGGTCGCATCCTGGGACAAAACTGGCCTAATTTGCCCGATATGCTCAGCATAACACGCTTCTTTCTATATTGTAGTGTGTCATTGATGTCACCTATGGCCTGGATACCTTGTACATGTAAATAAAGATGATATTATGACAGAAGGGGAGGAGAATTTTTTTTTTACTTTTTTTTTTTAGCTAACACGCATGTATTCTTCCCTTATTCCTAGTATATCTTTTTTATATTATAATAATAAGATATTATCTCCTTTAGTGAATAATAATAAGATATTATCTCCTTTATATTATAAAAATAGGGTAAAAGGACCCTAATGGAAATAAGTAACTCTGACTTTTTTGGGTTATCCTAGGTTCTTTACACATGCTGCTATGTATGATAATCTATGTAACTGTATTTGTGTTAACCTGAATCAACTTACATACTAGCTCAGCCTCCTGGGAGTCAGAGCTCAATAAGATGTGCACTCTTGATGGCTGCCTTTAACAACCCCCAACAAGAACTAAGATGGACACAGGTGGTCGCCTGGACGTGTGGGTAGAGAGGTGGGCAGAAGGTAGAACAAGATGGCATAACAAGGATGTTAACTTCTCCCTGGTGCACCATGGTACCTTGTTGCTGGAATACCCAGGGCGCCGGGTACTGGTGCCCCTCTGTGGCAAGTCTGTCGACCTTAAGTGGTAAGTCACCCCACTTTCAAGGTCACCCTTGTGGGTTTAGCGCTTAGTTCCGATTGTAGTATTTCAAGGAAAGGTGCCAAATGCCAGTGGTGGGCTCTTGATCCAAGGTATTTGGAGCTATTTTTTTTTATTGAACCTGGTAACCTAATTCTCAATGTAAATAGGTCACTTTAAATTTTTTGGGGGGTTATCTTAGTTCATTTACAGTCTTAATTGTACTTATGAATACCTGTGCCTAAATAAACTTATTTACTTGCTATCCTCAGGGGGCCATATGACCCCTATATGTTTATCCCTATGAATAATAATCATGAAAGTTACTTTCTCCTACCTTACTGTTTTTATATTGAAGAAATGTTCCTTGATGAAGTGCAGGTCTTCTCATTCTAGAAATTTGGAGATGCCAATGTCTAGCCCTTATACAATGTCATATGGACTATGCTTGCTCTTCATGGTACTCTGCCTTGACAAAAAAAACTGAAAGATAGACTGCAAATCACCCAGAACAAAATGGTAAGATTCATCCTGGACCTGGGACCAAGAGAACATGTAGGCCAGAATGAATTACAGCAGTTTACCTGGAGTTTACCTGGAGAGAGTTTCGGGGGTCAACGCCCCCGCGGCCCGGTCTGTGACCAGGCCTCCTGGTGGATATGCTGAATGTTGAAGACAGAGTAAAACAACTGAAGCTAAATCATGTTTATAAAATTGCTCACAAACAGTGTCCAGAATATCTTGCTGTCAGTTTTGTCAAGGTTGGGAGCCAAAGCAATCATAGTACTAGGGGGAGAGAGCACAACTTTGTAGTGGCCACAGTCAGTGGACAGGCTTCAAACACCTTTTATTGTACAGCAATAAAGGAATGGAACAGACTGCCTGCACATGTCAAAGGCAGTCATAGCATAAACCAGTTCAAGAAGAGAGCCAAAAGGCACCTGGTGAAGTAGCTACAGAAAGGGAAAGGAATGATTTTTTATTTTTTTTTAGCTAACACACGTGTAATTTTACCTTATTCCTAGTAATGACCCATATTGTAGATAGTCTTAATGACCCTTGTGTAGTAGTCTTAATGACCCTTGTGTAGTATTAATGACCCTCGTGTAGTAGACAGTCTTAATAGTATGATAATAAGATGCTATCTCCTTTATAAAATAATAAGATATTATAACCTTTATACATATATTATAATAATAAGGTAAAAGGACCCCAATGGAAATACGTCACTCTGTCTGGCTTTTATGGGTTATCCTAGGTACTTTACACATGCTGGTATGTATGATAATCTATGTAATTGTATTTGTGTATTACCTGGAATTTACCTGGAGAGGGTTTCGGGGGTCAATGGCCCCGCGGCCTGGTCTGACACCAGACCTCATGGGGGATCAGGGTCTGATCAACCAGGCTGTTACTGGAAATAAATGGTATAAAATACCGACACAATGGAAATACAGTAGACCCCCGCATAACGATCACCTCCGAATGCGACCAATTATGTAAGTGTATTTATGTAAGTGCGTTTGTACGTGTATGTTTGGGGGTCTGAAATGGACTAATCTACTTCACAATATTCCTTATGGGAACAAATTCGGTCAGTACTGGCACCTGAACATACTTCTGGAGTGAAAAAATATCGTTAACCGGGGGTCCACTGTATAAACGCATATGCAGTTTAATGTGATCCTTTATTGACAACGTTTCGCGCACACAGTGGGCTTCAACGTTCAAGCTCTCCAAGACAAGCTCAGCCAGGTCGAGCCCTCAGTCCAGTTCACACTTGAAGAAGTCGACAACACTCTTCCTTTCCTTGATGTTCTTCTCTGCAAAGCTGACCATGAACTTCGTTTTAAAGTCTATCGAAAACCCACCTACCAAAACGATCTTCTCCACTTCTACTCTCACCACGACACCAAAACTAAATGTGGTGTAATTATAGGCTTCTTCCTGCGCGCACTCAGAATCTGCAGCAATGAGTTCCTTGAGGAAGAATGCACTATAATTGAACAAGTATTTTCTAAACTCCACTATCCTTGTCACTTCATCAGAGATGGCAGACGGCGGGCATTAAACGTCTTCAACACACTCAGAGAAGACACTGCCGAGAAGAGATACATAGTCCTCCCCACCAACTCCATTGCCAAACATGTTTCCAACATCTTTTCCAATACCTCATTCCAAGTATTTACCTCCACAACCACGACCATCAAGGACATCACCAGTAATAGACAGGACAAGCTTCCATCCTCTGCAGGGGTATACATAATCCCTTGAAATGACTGCAGCAAATTATACATGGGCAAAGCATCAAGAGACCTCCAAACACGTATTTCAGAACACCGATACACAAGCAGGACTGACGATACAAGGAATGCCTGTGTACAACACCGCAATTCACACAACCGTTTAATTAACTACAGAAACTCAAGAATTATCGCCAGAGAAGTCAACACTCAATACCGAAGAATCCTGGAATCATCGCTTATCTCTATAACCAACAATTTCAACCAGAACAATGGCTTCTATAACATAGCTGAACCACTTGCCAAGAAACTTCTTCATCGCTATCCCACATAAGAACATAGGAATGGAAGAACACTGCAGAAGGTCTGCTCACAACTTATCCAATCTCCCTTCCAAGCTACTCAAGATTTTAGACTCTATAACCCCACTCAGTAGATCATCAGATGCAGCATTCTACACCTGACCTCAACATTCTGAACCTGACTATAAATACTGGCGTACCTTCCACCCAAGTAGATCTGTTTGTGACTTGAAAAAACCCACTGTGTGGGCGAAACGTCAATAAAGGATCACATTAAACTGCATATGCGTTTATATTTCCAGGCTGTTACTGCTGGCCGCATGCAAGCAGACATACGAACCACAGCCCAGTTGGTCAGTTACTGACTTCAGGTGCCTGTCCAGTGCCTTCTTGAAGACAGCCAGGGGTCTATTGGTAATCCTCCTTATGTATGCTGGGAGGCAATTATACCTGAATAAATTTGCTTACTTACCTTTTGCTCTCTCATATAATCTAATTCCCTTCAGTTTCCCAGGAGTTCCACGACCCTTGTGGGCTTAGCACTTGCCACGAATACAAGATTGCAGTAAATATACACGTCCATGAATATTGCTGAGTGGCTGCATCTGTAGCCACTGTCATGTTGAATTTAACTAATTATATGTGAGTAAAAAGACTCCACCTGCAGCCCAGGCAGCTGATGTTTCTACTGTACTATGAGAATTGTTACTCTGCATTTATTGTCAGGGCATATTGTAATTATGGTATAGTTCATAACCCACTTACTCCACCCTCATATCCTGTTTATATATTTTCCAGTCTCATTAACATATTTGTCTGAAAAAGCTTTTTAGGGCAAATTATTCTGTAATAATATAATAATATTTTGATTTCTACAAGTACATGTACTTGGAATACAGGTCTAGCTGACATCAGTGACATACTGCTACATAGAAAACCACTTGTTATGCAGAGCATTTCGGGTAAATTAGGTCAATCTTGTCCCAGGATACAACCCATGCCAGTCAACTAACACCCAGGTACCCATTTTTTACTGATGGTTGAATGTGGACAACTGATGTAAGGAAACATGCCCAATGTTTTTACCTTTGCCAGGAATCGAACCCAGACTCTCAGCGTGTGAAGCGAGAGCTTTGCCACCAGGTCACAGGCCACCGTCTCTGCCTTCCCAACTGACCATAACTAGTTATTGTATCTGTTAAATGTCCAGCAATTTTTGCTGCTCTAAAGAAATGAAAAGGTAAAAACAAGCATATTTTAACTCAGTATCACTTCAGAAAACATACAGTGTACAACTGCTGGTGTACAAATATAGTACCTCCAGTGATGTAAAGCTTGGCAACATTTGGAAAATTCTTAAAAAATAGAGCATCTAAGATGTTTCATATTTTCTCTGGTAATGTAGAATACATAATGGGATTACCAATAGACCCCTGGCTGTCTTCAAGAGGAAGCTAGACAGGAACCTAAAGTCAGTAACTAACCAGTTGGGCTGTGATTCATGTGTCAGTTTGCAAATGGCCAGCATTAACAGCTCAGTTGATCAGGCCCTGATCCATTGCAAGACCTGGTCATGGACCAGTCTGTAGGGGGCATTGACCCTCGGAACAACCTCCAGGTATACAGCATTAATGTATTTAGCAACAAAATTTGGCTTGAAGTGAACAGTACAAGACTAGAACATTATATAAAAATGTGGGAAGAAGTGAGCTCCCATACAAGGCAGCGAAATTGCAGACCTAGAGAATATACGGAGAACTTTCACTCCATGTAGTATAAGTACAATAAAGCACCTAAATTACAGGGAACGTTTGAAGTCCCTTGACCAGTTATCCTTCAAGTGCAGGTGAGAAAGATAAATGATAATATACACTTGGAAAATCCTAGTGGGACTAGTCCCAAATTTGCACAAGGAAATCACTCTCTACAAAAGCAAAAGACTCAGAAGGCAGTGCAACATCTCCCAAATAAAAAGCTGGAGTGCCATGAGTATGGTAAGAGACAACACAATAAGTGTCAAAGGACTAGGATTGTTCAACTGCCTCCCAGCATGCATAAGGAAGGATTACCAATAGACCCCTGGCTGTCTTCAAGAGGGAGCTGGACAGGCACCTAAAGTCAGTACCTGACCAGTGGGCTGTCAGTTTGCTTGCAGTCAGCAGTAACAGCTTGGTTGATCAGGCCCTGATCCACCATGAGCTCTGGTCATGAACCGGCTGCAGAAGCATTGAACACTGAAACACCCTTCAGGTATATATCTAGGTATACAGTGGTACTCCGAGTTTCGAACTTTCTTCGTTCCAGAAAGCTGTTTGAGAGTGCCATTATTGAACGAATTTGTTCCCATAAGGAATAATATAAATTGGATTAGTCCGTTTCAGACCCCAAAAATACACTTACAAAAGCACTTAACAATAATACACTTACATAATTGGTCGAGTTGGGAACAGTTCGAAACTCGGGGTACCATTGTATATCATGTAAGGTTTGCTTCACACACACCATGATTTTTATTTTACTGGCATTATTAACATTTACTTGGCTGAAATTAAAGGCATTTTTTCCAAGCTTCATCATATGAATACAGTTAGTTTTAAGCTACCGTCTTATGTTTCAAATTGTGATTTCAGGTTTTACGATGAAGGACACACGGTTGTTGGAATTGAAGCGGTTGAACAGGCAGTATTGGCATTTTTTTCTGAACAACACCTCACCTATACTACAGAACAGTTGACTTGGGGAAAATTGTTTAAGGTTTGTTTGGTTTATATATAATATTTACAGAATAAGAGTGTCATTACATGTTAGTACTTTGTCTGACTTATTTACAAAACTGCAAGTTTTGAGGAAACATTTAAAGGGTTAAGTTAAATCTTTCTTCTTTCAACGCACCAGCCGTATCCCACTGAGGTTGGGTGGCCCAAAGGGACAAACGAAAGTTTCTCCTTTTAAATTTAGTAATATATACAGGAGAAGGAGTTACTAGCCCCTTGCTCCCAGCATTTTAGTTGCCTCTTACGACACACATGGCTTACGGAGGAAGAATTCTGTTCTACTTCCCCATGGAAACTTAAGTTAAATATTTAATAAAATAAATTGATGTAGTGTACATATTTTGCTGTTAATGTAGATAAGAAAGAATTAATGAGTATCCTTATTATTTTTGCTGTGTATAAATTTTATAGATGATTTTAATGGGTTTTAGATTTTCCAATGCATCCATTAATTTTATTTTTTTTCACAGACACATGATGGGAGGCTTAGTGTCTTCTGCTGTGACATTATGAAAGTAGATGCAACACACTTAGGGAAGTTTGATGCTGTGTGGGACAGAGGATCTTTAGTTGCTTTGGATGAAGAAGACTGGAAAGGGTAATTTTCTCGCTTTTAATTTTCGTTTTCATTTGCTAATCTGTAGAATTTTGTACCTTTTCCATATTGTGGTTATATACACTATTTCAGTAACTTCTTCTTATGTGAATTGATGCTTTAGCCACTTGTGGAATTGCTTTCAGAACATAATATGATGCAGCAAAGCAACAGCTACAGAATTTGAGTTATCATCATTAAATTTTGTCTCTAAGAATAGTGGAGGTATGAAGTCATTTTGCCAGTTTTTTGGAAAAGAAAGAACTGTCTGGTACATATTTCAGGACAGCATCATTTTTGAGAATGTTTGCATTTACTGGTCAAATAAATAGTGATAGGATAGGGATCATAAATCAGTCAAATTAAAAAAAAAAATTTAACATGCCAGCCATCTCCCTCACCAGCCCCTTGCTTCAGGCATTTTAGTCGCCTCTTATGACACACACATGGCTTCTAGAGGAAGCATTCTTCTCCACTTCCCCATGGATCCAAATTAGTATATCTATAGTAAAATGAAATGTTCCATTGTCTGTAGCCTTGTTTTTTCTTATAATTTTATCAGGCATAAACAAAAACACAGACCACAACTGTGAATCATCCATACAAATAATATATTTAGCATAAAACTTGCTGTGGCAAAAGAAACCACAATTGAGTTTTAATAAACTCAATAGGCTGGTAGACAGCAACTATCTGTGGAGGTGCTATGTCCTCTCAAATGAGTGAAATGGAAACCTGTTAATTTTTTTGCACTCTGGCAGAATTGCTGATCTTTTCTGTCTCATAAATATGTAAGTTCTAGGTAGTAGGTTGGTAGACAGCAACCGCCCAGGGAGGTACTACTGTCCTGCCAACAGAGTGTAAAACGAAAGCCTGTAATTGTTTTACATGATGGTAGGATTGCTGGTGTCCAGTTTTCTGTCTCATAAACATGCAAGGTTTCAGGTACGTCTTGCTACTTCTACTTACACTTAAGTCACACTACACATACATGTACAAGCATATATATATACACACAACCCCTCTGGGTTTTCTTCTATTTTCTTTCTAGTTCTTGTTCTTGTTTATTTCCTCTTACCTCCATGAGGAAGTGGAGCAGAATTTTTCCTCCGTAAGCCATGCGTGTTGTAGGAGGCGATTAAAATGCCAGGAGCAAGGGGCTAGTAACCCCTTCTCCTGTATATATTACTAAATGTAAAAGGAGAAACTTTTGTGTTTCCTTTTGGGCCACCCCGCCTCGGTGGGATACGGCCGGTGTGGTGAAAGAAAGAAATATGTAAGTTAAATAAATCTTACAAACTACTTCTTACATTCAGTATAGTTCTTAAACCTGTAATATTTCCTTTCATCCTTTTAGGCGTGTTCTGAGATTGGGTCATGAACATAATTCTCAGAACCACTTAACAGATAACCTAGTGAGCGACACAAGATAACATAATAGACAAAACCTACTAAAGCAAAAACCTTGTCGTAGTGAGAGATGGGGTTTGTTTCTTTGACCCAGTAATTCAGGTTGTCCTGAATCTCTTGATCAATTGTCCCACTCATCAAAGAGCATACCAGCTTCATTTCTGATCCCTTGTTTAATGCTCCAATAATCTTACTTTGTCTTCCCTCCTCTTTAACCATCCCATCTTACCTGCAGATTTTAATTTTTTTAATGACCATTTTGTTTCATGAACTGTAACTTCCATTTTTTTGGCTAGTTTTTTTTTTTAACACCTCCAAATCTTAAAACTTCCTTTACCCTCGTATCACCTAAAACTTCCTTTACCCTCCTAGCACTTAAAACTTCCCTTACCCTCCTAGCACTTAAAACCTCCTTTGCCCTCCTAGCACCTAAAACCTCCTTTATCCTCCCAGCACTTGAAACTTCCTTTACCCTCCTAGCACTTAAAACTTCCTTTACCCTCCTAGCACTTAAAACTTCCTTTACCCTCCTAGCACTTGAAACTTCCTTTACCCTCCTAGCACTTAAAACTTCCTTTACCCTCCTAGCACTTAAAACTTCCTTTACCCTCCTAGCACTTAAAACTTCCTTTACCCTCCTAGCACTTAAAACTTCCTTTACCCTCATAGCACCTAAAACCTCCTTTACCCTCCTAACACTTAAAATTTCCTGTACCCTCCTAGCACTTAAAACTTCCTTTACCCTCCTAGCACTTGAAACTTCCTTTACCCTCCTAGCACTTGAAACCTCCTTTGCCCTCCTGCCAGACCTTTCTGGGACAACCCCTACCGCTCTATGCACCACATATTTACATTCCCTCCTGGCCATCTTATTTTGCTCTATCCTCTGTAATGCCCTAGCCACCACCTCAACAACCCCTCTTTAGCTCTCTGAATTATACTTTTTGTAACCCCATACCTTCTAATATTTACGCTCTGAATTCTCTGCACAATCTTCACACCACACACTGCCCTCAAAGACGTCATCTCCACTGCCTCTAGCCACCTTCTTACTGCAACATTTAAAACCATGCTTCACACCCATATAGCAGTGTTGCTACCACTATACTTGGGTACATTCTCATTTCTTTTTGCCCCTCTGAGTTGGTGTTTTAAAATATTTGTTTGTGATATCATATATGATTTTGTTCTGATTTGTTATACTAGATAATCTTCCAGCTTAAAAAAAATTGCAATTTTGACTTATACAATACTAAATAGAAAGATCCATTGCACACGATTTACTGAATCATAAAAAAAAAATTATTTTCTCCATGGGGAATTGGAAAAGAATTCTTCCTCTCTAAGACATGTGTATCGTCAGAGGCGACTAAAATGCCGGGAGCAAGGGGCTAGTAACCCCTTAGCCAGTATAAATTACTAATTTTAAAAAGAAAAACTTTCATTTTTGTTTTTAAGTCACTCTGCCTCAGTGGGATATGGCTGGTTCATTGAAAAAAAAAATATGTGAATAAAGTTCTGTATTAAATCCAGTATTTCACTTTGCAGCTATGCTGAGATAATGAAATCCATGCTGGCGTCAGACTTTCGTTACTTGCTGAGCATTACTCAGTATACACCTAATGAGCTCTTCAGTGGACCTCCAAGCAATGTACCAACTGAAGTGGTGGAACAACTTTTTGGTAGGTGTTTTCTCATGATTTTTATGGTTTTATTGGCTGTTTCTTGGCATTTGATAGAATGGAAGACATACCACTGAAATAGAGATGATTTTGGTTGGTTTCAAGACCAGAAGTAGCTTTGACAGGATGGGTGTATACCTAGAGGATGTTCAGCAGACATGCATAAGCATGTTAGATAGGAATGAATGGAGACAAATGGTTTTTGGGACCTGATGAACTGTTGGAGTGTGAGCATGGTAATATTTTGTGAAGGGATTCAGGGAAACCGGTTAGCCGGACTTGAGTCCTGGAAATAGGAAGTACAATGCCTGTACTGTAAAGAAGGGGTTTGGGATATTGGCTGTTTGGAGGGACTTCTAAACCGTCGTATCTGAGTGCCTCTGCAAAGACAGTGATTATGTATGAGTGAGGTGAAAGTGTTGAATGATGATGAAAATATTTTTCTTTTTTGGGGATTTTCTTTCTTTTTGGGGATTTTCTTTCTTTTTGGGTCGCCCTGCCTCGGTGGAAGACGGCCGACGTGTTGAAAAGAAAAAATTTAGTATACACACACACTGATAGTTATTTTCTGAGTAGTTCTCATATATTATTTTTTTCCTTCAATAAATATTATTAGAGGAGCAATGTGGCAGATGTTGCAAGTATATGGAATAGGTGGTAAGTTATTAAATCTGTAAAGAGTTTTTATGAGGATAGTGAGGCTCAGGTTAGGGTGTGTAGAAGAGAGGGAGACTACTTCCCGGTAAAAGTAGGTCTTAGACAGGGATGTGTAATGTCACCATGGTTGTTTAATATATTTATAGATGGGGTTGTAAAGGAAGTAAATGCTAGGGTGTTTGGGAGAGGGGTGGGATTAAATTATGGGGAATCAAATTCAAAATGGGAATTGACACAGTTACTTTTTGCTGATGATACTGTGCTTATGGGAGATTCTAAAGAAAAATTGCAAAGGTTAGTGGATGAGTTTGGGAATGTGTGTAAAGGTAGAAAGTTGAAAGTGAACATAGAAAAGAGTAAGGTGATGAGGGTGTCAAATGATTTAGATAAAGAAAAATTGGATATCAAATTGGGGAGGAGGAGTATGGAAGAAGTGAATGTTTTCAGATACTTGGGAGTTGACGTGTCGGCGGATGGATTTATGAAGGATGAGGTTAATCATAGAATTGATGAGGGAAAAAAGGTGAGTGGTGCGTTGAGGTATATGTGGAGTCAAAAAACGTTATCTATGGAGGCAAAGAAGGGAATGTATGAAAGTATAGTAGTACCAACACTCTTATATGGGTGTGAAGCTTGGGTGGTAAATGCAGCAGCGAGGAGACGGTTGGAGGCAGCGGAGATGTCCTGTTTAAGGGCAATGTGTGGTGTAAATATTATGCAGAAAATTCGGAGTGTGGAAATTAGGAGAAGGTGTGGAGTTAATAAAAGTATTAGTCAGAGGGTAGAAGAGGGGTTGTTGAGGTGGTTTGGTCATTTAGAGAGAATGGATCACAGTAGAATGACATGGAAAGCATATAAATCTATAGGGGAAGGAAGGCGGGGTAGGGGTCGTCCTTGAAAGGGTTGGAGAGAGGGGGTAAAGGAGGTTTTGTGGGTAAGGGGCTTGGACTTCCAGCAAGCGTGCGTGAGCGTGTTAGATAGGAGTGAATGGAGACGAATGGTACTTGGGACCTGACGATCTGTTGGAGTGTGAGCAGGGTAATATTTAGTGAAGGGATTCAGGGAAACCGGTTATTTTCATATAGTCGGACTTGAGTCCTGGAAATGGGAAGTACAATGCCTGCACTTTAAAGGAGGGGTTTGGGATATTGGCAGTTTGGAGGGATATGTTGTGTATCTTTATATGTGTATGCTTCTAGACTGTTGTATTCTGAGCACCTCTGCAAAAACAGTGATAATGTGCGAGTGTGGTGAAAGTGTTGAATGATGATGAAAGTATTTTCTTTTTGGGGATTTTCTTTCTTTTTTGGGTCACCCTGCCTCGGTGGGAGACGGCCGACTTGTTGAAAAAAAAAAAAAAAAAATATTATTAGATTTATATAAGATTTCTTTTCAATTTTTTCCTTGAATAAGTATTTTTAGCTTCATATAAAATTTCTTTGCCAGTATCCAAAATAGTTTGGCATATTCATGGCATCTTCCATTGATGGACTGACATGGGAAGATCCTTATAAAGTATTCATTGACTGTCAGCATTTAGGTTTCACATGTGTCCCTCCTAATGAATTTTTATCTTGTTTGACAGGTGATGTGTGCAGTCTGAAGGTACTAGAGACAGTCAAGTGGCCTGCAGAGGATGAGCGACTTGCTAAATGGCACCTGGATTATATGGCTGAATTGGTGCTTATTCTTACTCCGAAGAGTTAACCTGTAGTCTAATGGTGCAAAAACTGTGAAAATGCATTTAAGGATAAACAAGAGAAAGTAATGTGGTTATTATATGTACAAATGTATTTTGTTACTGTCAACTTATCTGGGTATACTATGTATGTCAACTACTGTATTATGTTCGTGACTGTCATATTACCTTTTGAATTTACTATGTATAGGCTCAGTGAAACCTTGATTTAATGGACTGCCGTATTACCTCTTGAGTTTACTATGTATAGGCTTAGTGAAACCTTGATTTAATGGACCCAGATTTAGCAGATTTTGAATTTAGTTGACAAGATTTTCAGTGGGACGTCTGGAAACAATTTCCAAAGTCCATTAATTCCAGAATTAGTGTGTTACTGTTAGAGCCCTCTGGGTAAATATATTTTGAATTTAATAAACTTTGTCTATTAAATTCAGAATTATTCATTATTATTGCAGCCTTAGAAAAAAATTTCATCATTCAAAATTAAATGATAATTGACATTAACCCTTTCAGGGTCCAAGGCCCAAATCTGGAGTCACGCACCAGTGTCCAAGAATTTTCAAAAAAAAAATTTGTTATTTTTTCTTATGAAATCGTAGAGAATCTTTTTGTGAAGGTAATAAAACAAAAAGTACGAAATTTGGTGAAAAATTGACGAAATTATGCTCTCGCGAATTTTGACGTGTCAGCGATATTTACGAATCGGCGATTTTGCCGACTTTGACTCCCATTTTAGGCCAATTACATTATTCCAATCAACCAAATTCTTAGCTATTTCACTAGTATTACTTCTATTCTATTGATTGAGCACAAGAAATCGCCAAGTCAACTGTTTCAACTACAAAATAAAGTGATCGGAAATTGTTAATTTGGCCAATTTAACACAAAGTTCAAAATATTCCAATTTCAAAATAGGGTCCAGAATGAACAATGTAGGCATTCCTGGCACTAAACTAACATTTCCTCTGTTCATTAGTTATGTTTTGAGGCTTTACAAATAAATTCCATTTTGATTTTTTATTCACATAATGAATTTTTATTCACACCAAAAAATAGAAGATTTACTGTTATGCAATACTGTAATAATTGTATAAATATCATCACCATATTTGTGAATGTATATTAGACCCACCAGCTGGTGTGTATTAGACGTGTGAGGTCGTTTGTTTACTCTTGAATATCGGCAAAAATTTAACATTTCTGCTACTTTGAGCTCAGTTTCAAGCCATTTCCAGTATTAAAACCAATCAAAATCATCTCTATTTCTGTAATATGTCTTCCATTCTATCAAATGAGACCAAGAAATCGCAAATACAACTATAAAAAACATACGAAAAAACACTGCAAAGTTGTTGTTTTAATCGAAAAATCATGATTTCATTTTTTTTCTCTCATTATACACAGTGTGCTGCAGGATCTGTTTTATGTGGTGCACACATACCACATAGATGTATTCTCTCATATCTAGGCCCAAATGTACCACTCACAGTTTATCAGAGTGAACTGAGCTCATGGCGTAGATCTACGGTTTGGACCCTGAACGTAAAGCCGTAGATCTACGGGACAGACCCTGAAAGGGTTAACAGATACCCCCTCCCCCCTACTTTTAGTCTTGTAAATCAAGGTTTCACTGTACTGTTGTTTTCTGCTCAAATTATATTATCTTCAGGGACAGGGACAGAAAGTTGGGACTTGATGCCCCCTAGCCAAAGATGAGGTTGTGGAAGTGTATATTTTTATCTTCTTATTTATATATTTCAGTGAATAAACTTTTCAGTAACTAAACTAACCATTAAGCACAAACAGGAAAGTTATGGAGACGGAATTCTTTTTCACTTCCCCATGGAGATTTAAACTGCATAAACATACAAGAAAAATGCCTTATTTTAACATATATGTAGTATGTATAATTTTATTTAAATAATGCAGTAGTAGTAATATGTGAGGTTTAATGCATTATGTGACTATTATTCAGATAAGTGAATAAGTAGATTATATTATTTGTGTAATTGCCTTAAAGATGTGATTCAGTTAAGTAGGCAAGGGATTGTTGAGATGGGTTGATCATGTAGAATGGAGGGAGATAAGTTGATGGTGGCTTATTTAAGTTGGTGTATGGGATGCTTTATGAATGGTTATAAAGAAAGTGTAAAGATGATTTTGAGAAGGATAGGCATCATCATTAACTAGGCATATTTGGTCATTATGCTTGTATGTTAGATCTGAGTGAGGGAATGTGTTTTTTGTAGTCTTGATGTGCAGTTGGAGGGTAACCAGGTTAGACAGCTGGAAAACATATGGTGAATGTTTTTTTAACATTACATCACCCAGATATGGTGGGAGATACCTAATGTTTAAAATATCCCACATGTGTAATGTTATGTATTGGGTTGGAACAGATTATGTATACGATGTAAACCCTTGATATAATGAACTTATGGAAATAAATGGTATCAAATACCGACACAGTGGAAATATAAACACGTATGCAGTATAATGTGATCCTTTATTGACAACGTTTCACCCACACAGTGGGCTTTTTCAAGTCACACACAGATCTGTGTGTGACTTGAAAAAACCCACTGTGTGGGTGAAACGTTGTCAATAAAGGATCACATTATACTGCATATGTTTTTTTTTTTTTTTTTTTTTTTTTTTTTTTCAACAAGTCGGCCGTCTCCCACCGAGGAGGGGTGTTAATGTTGCAGTTTAAAAACTGTAGTGTAAAGCACCCTTCTGGCAAGACAGTGATGGAGTGAATGATGGTGAAAGTTTTTCTTTTTCGGGCCACCCTGCCTTTGTGGGAATAGGCCAGTGTGATAATAAAAAAAAAAAAATAAATAAATAAAATAATGGGTCTAGGTAGTAGGTTGGTAAACAGCAACCACCCAGGGAGGTACTACCGTCCTGCCAAGTGAGTGTACAATGAAAACCTGTAATTGTTTTACATGATGGTAGGATTGCTGGTGTCTTTTGTCTGTCTCATAAACATGCAAGATTTCAGGTATGTCTTGCTACTTCTACTTGCGCTTAGGTCACACTACACATACATGTACAAGCATATATATACACACCCCTCTGGGTTTTCTTCTATTTTCTTTCTAGTTCTTTACACAAATAACCCGCACATAAAAGAGAGAAGCTTACGACGACGTTTCGGTCTGACTTGGACCATTTACAAAGTCACACTAACCAGAGGTGGAGCAGGACGGCTATATATAGGCAGGAAGAGGTGGTGGTAGTAGTAGTAGTGGTACAAGAATGGTATATAATACTGACAAGATGAAATTAAGACACATGCGCAACACCCGGGCATCCCTATCGTAGACCTTTCGCCATCCAGCCAGCCACTGGATGGCGAAACGTCCACAACAAAGACAACCAGATGCCGCACATGTGTCTCAATTTCATCAGTAGTTGTAGTAGTAGTAGTAGTAGTAGAAGAGGTAGTAGTAGTGGTAGTGGTAGAAGTGGGGAATAAGGAGGACAAGCTAACACTCTTCGCACTAATCTCGTTCATACCTCTCCTCCCTCTACAGATGTTCCTGGTGTCTACTCTATTTCTTGCTCCTCCTGTCCTCTTCAATACTTCGGAGAAACTGGTCGATCTCTTTCTGACAGACTTAGGGAGCACAAAAATAGTGTTAGGCTTGCCGACACTAACAATGCTCTTTTCTGTCACGTCAGAGATCATAGCCATCCTATTGACTGGTCTTCTGCTAAAACTGTCTTCCCTACTTCCAACTCGAACAGTTGCCGTCTAGTTGAATCCTCTCTAATACACAACTTTCCTTGTATGAACCTTAGCCCTGGCTTTGTCTCTGTAGATGCCTTCCTCTCCCACTACATTGTAAAATGCTCCAAACTTCAGAACACCCGTGACTTAACCTGACTCCTCATTTTTTCTTTTTCTTTTTCTTCTTCTCCCTCTTCCCCTTTCCTCTTTCCTTTTCTCCTCTGGGTTGTCTTTCTCTCTTCTGTCTCGTGTTTCTGTTCCTTCTTCATTTATTTCACCACTTCCCCTTTCACGCACCTCTGTGCGCTTGCTTTCCCTCTGTGGGCACCTAGCTCTCTTACAGTGCTCCCCTTCCTTTGTATTTGACTGAATCGTCCTCCTTTTTCCCCACTTCTACCACTACCACTACTACTACCTCTTCTACTACTACTACTACAACTACTGATGAAATTGCGACACATGTGCGGTGTCTGGTTGTCTTTGTTGTGGACGTTTCGCCATCCAGTGGCTGGCTGGATGGCGAAAGGTCTACGATAGGGATGCCCGGGTGTTGCGCATGTGTCTTAATTTCATCTTGTCGGTATTATATACCATTCTTGTACCACTACTACTACTACTACCACCACCTCTTCCTGCCTATATATAGCCATCCTGCTCCACCTCTGGTTAGTGTGACTTTGTAAATGGTCCGAGTCGGACCGAAACGTCGTCGTGAGCTTCTCTCTTTTATGTGCGGGTTATTTGTGCATCGTTCCAGTCACGGTATTGTGCCTTTTTTGTTATTCTAGTTCTTGTTTATTTCCTCTTATCTCCATGGGGAAGTGGAACAGAACTCTTCCTCCGTAAGCCATGCATGTTGTAAGAGGCGACTAAAATGCCGGGAGCAAGGGGCTAGTAACCCCTTCTCCCATATAAATTACTAAATTTAAAAGAGAAACTTTCGTTTTTCTTTTTGGGCCACCCTGCCTTGGTGGGATATGGCCGGTGTGTTGAAAGAAAATAATGGGTAAAGTTCACTGGGTAAATTACCCTTTCAGTGCCTTTATTTTCAATGTTTAGTGAAACATATCTAATTTGTGTGTACAGTGCTATATTAGGTATACAGCACAGTAAGTATTATATTTGCTATTTTTGTTTTTCATTATTCTGATTAATTTTTTTTTTTTAATTCTAATTTAACCAACACTAACACTTTCCCCCCATGATGCCATTATATCGAGTTTCTGGTACAATGCTTTAATTTCCTAGGTGGTGTGTGAATGGTCAGATGTATACTAGTTAGTAATGAAGTACGGGTAATAGCAGTGTAAAAATATTGTTTCTACAATGTTCTGCGAGAGTGATGTGCAATGTAATTTTTGCATTAATCATTTGTGATTAATTTATTTTTTTTCCGTTTTTAAATATTTTGAATCATAATACATTAAACTTTAGAAGAAAAAACTTATCTTTAGAATGCAAGTTTGATGTTAGGTAGTATTAAAAGCCCTTGTATTTTGCTGGAGTTGGTTGTAGATGTATTTCACATTCCAGGGTGAGAGTTCTGTCATACAATATTTTTTGTTAAGTAAAAAGACACAAATGCAACTAATGCAATACTTTATTGTGACAACATTTTAGTATTACACCTCACTCTTAGCCTATATATGCCCTCTGTGTCCATGTATTGTTTGTAACTGCTTGATAAAGCTCCTGCAGAGTGAAACGTTGGCACAATAAAATATTGCATTAGTGTCCTTTTACTTAACATATTGTCAGTAATTCTACCAGTGTTAATACACAAAATTTTTTGACCAAAATACCTAAACTGCTATTTTTGTCAGTTGATAATAGTTTCTACCTTTCTGTTTCATCTTCTGCAGTGATCTGTTGTACCTTTTGATTTGCTCTGCCTTGGTGGTACATATTTTGTTTTGACTGAAAGTGATTGTTGCTATAACCCGCCTTTTCACTGATCTTTTGGCAATTTGAGTGTACTAACTGGCTTTTCTTTATTCATAACACTGCTTTCTCTTCCCTCTCCATCTTAACTGACTGTTATTAAGCAGCTGACTTGTTTAACCACATACTTTGTTTATCTGAAACCCAGAGACATATATTCACAGAATGTACTCTATTAGTGTAAAAAGTAATGCTGGCAGTTTTGTTTCTCAAAACCTATCCCACTTTTGTAAGCATATTGTGGAGAAAGGGTCACTCATAGGAACTTTTTTTTTGCTCTTTCCTAATTTCTGCTTCATATTTCAGGCAAGGAAACTGAGGACCCTGTCAGTGGCTTACCAATTAGATTGCTACTGTCCCTCTCAGAAGAGGTTGCATTTACCCTGCTGTAATGTATTTCAGTTTTTTCATTCCTGAAATTGTAATAGATGTTATGGGAATACTGAAAAGTTGTAGTTGATAAAGACACACACAGCATTTGGAATTTTTATTGAGAGGATGTTTCACCTGCACAATAGACAATCAGGTCTGATAGATCATACTTAGTGATAGCATAACTTGTAGGTGATAAGATTATAATCATAACTAAGTGCTAAACCCATAAGGGTCATAAGTACTGGTAGGTGAGAAGGAGCATAGGTATTAACAGAAAAATTGGAAAATGTTAGAGGAGCACTACAGTAGGCCTACTAGATGAATGAGACTTGCACAACACTTGGGTATCATTAACATAGAGATGTTTTGCCAATCAATAGCCTTATTAGTTCAATAGAGAATAAGATATAACGTAGTAGTTTGAGGTGGTCAGTCCCTCAGCCTTGAAAGATGGTACTCAGTCCCTTAGGCTGAGGAAATAACCACCTCAAATTACCTAAACATATTTTCCACCATTTATTCCCTATAACTTATCCTGTTGGAGAGAAATACCATGTATCCAGAATTATCTATGCCCTAATAATTACTTTATCTACCCTGAGGTTTAAATTATCTCCACAATAAATGCGTATAGTCATGTGTTGCACATGTATCTCATTCATTTACCTGTCACTTGTAAGCCACTAATATAGTAGTACAACTGGCTCACATTAGGTAAATCTTGAGACGTTAGTATTGAGTAGTGCTGGTAATAGTAGTTGATAGTTCTTTGTGGTATACCTGATTCGATGCCTGTAGTTGGTGTGGTAAATTTGAAGCTGCCTAAGTTCTGTGTAATTGAGTTTGAAATCTTGATAGTAGTTTCGTAACATTTCCTCTTGTATCATTTTCCCATTTTTTTTATGAATTTTGAATCGGAAAATGTTATCAGATGGTCGTATGAATTCTTAAACTTCTCTCTCATTGTTCTTATCTGTTTGGGCTGTGTACTGACACTTGTTGACACACTTAAGTGTCTGGCATTCTCTCGTACTAAATCTTGTCACACTCACTTCATCTGTTAAATAGTTTTTCGTTTTCCATTGAAGTCAAGGATAGTAGTAGTAGTAGTTATGACAGCTACTTTGTTTGTGGTTTGGTTCAAAATCTTCATGTTAGAAGCGAGTTTACATGGAAGGAAAATTATGTAGCCATCTTGTCGGTTTTTGGGGGGGTTTCAGCCATTGAATTGCAGTTTTCCAAAATTAAGGATAGGAATGCTAGATACTGCAATTTTCTATGAATATTTCTGATGGTTTTGCACTCTTTGTGGAAACACCGGCTACAAACCCTACATGCACATTGAAAAAATCCTGTTAATACACTTCATTGTTCTGTGACCAAAACCATCAGAAACTTTAGAAAAATGAAATATTCAGCATTTTTTTATCCTTAATTGTAGGAAATGTGCCATAAAAATCCTGAAAACACTCAAAGCCAACAAGAAAGCAGACCTATACATAACTTTCCTTAGAGTGAATGTTGCCTCCAGCATCACAAAAATTTTGAACCAAACCAACAACAAAATAGCTGTTGTGACCTCTTCTTCTACCTGTGAAATCTCCGTTAAAAAAAAGAAAAAACATAGGAAGAAGTTTGTGTCTGTGAAATTCCACACAGTGAGGGTGACATAAGTAAATACAGTGGAACCCTGAATATCGGCTGCTGTGTTTATCGGCCGAATCGTATTTAGGCTGGTTTTTGGGCCAAAATTTTGCTCCGTATTTCGGCCGGTGCCTCACAAATCAGCCGTATTAGATGCGTCATCCCGCTGGGACATCGCGTGTAGGTGAGTCAGTCTCCCTGTGTCTCTCGGAGAATGAGCATGTACTCCACGCATTCATCCAAACATTTCCTTAAAATCCATTGGTTTTTATGCTTGTTTATTAAGTGCAGCTGTGAAATAAACCACCATGGACCTAAAGAAAGTTCCTTTGGTAAAGAAATTGAGAAACACGATAGAACGGAAGAAAGAAGTTGTAGAAAAATACGAGAGTGGTATGCGTGTTCTCCAGCTTCCCAGGACGTATGGCAAAATCAAATCAACAATCGCTTCTATTCTGGCAAAGAAAGAACAAATCAAGGAAACTGATGTGGCAAAAGGGGTTAATGAAAAAAAGATTACAAACAATGGAAGATGTGGAGAGAGGCAGGGAGGGAAGTAACCCCAGAGAAGGCTTTGATATCTGAAGTCCTTATGGAGGGGGTTTCCCCTTCCAAACAATAGTCAGTCCTCCATGTCTTCCATAAGCCAATAAGAGTCTTCAATAAAGGTATGTAATAGTGATTTAAATGTTCATTTATTTATTTAGTTCCCATTGTTTTGTGTATGTAAAACTAATTAATCTTTTTTTTTAAATTATTTTTTGTTAATATTTTTGGGTGTCTGGAATGGATTAATTGTATTTACATTAATTCCTATGGGAAATATTGGTTCCAATTTAGGCCTTTTCGAATTTAGGCTGACCTTCTGGAATGATTACGGTCAATATTCGGGATTCCACTGTATTGAGAAACTGCCAGAAACTTGATCAAACATCTTAACAAAATTACACAGCCAAAGCTGATAACAATTCATGTGTCAAACAGGAATTCACACAACCTTCTGATGAGATTTTGCAATTCAAAACTTATAATAAAGGAATGAGAAAAATTAAAGAGGAAATGCTATGAAACTGCTCTCGTGACATCAAACAGAGCCATGGCAGCTTCACTGGGTATACTGCCAACTACCAAACATGCCTCTGTATGACCTTTGTGGGTTTAACACTAAACATGCCATTGCATCTCAAGAGTTATCTTGCATGGGCCAGTAAGACTGCTGCAGTGCTCTAATATGTGACTCATTTCTTGCGTTAGCACCTGACAATGTTCCTCTCTTTTGCCTGTAAACTGTGCTACCACCAGGTATATACACAAATGACCAGCACACAGGAGAGAAAGAGGAGCTTACGATGACATTTTGCTCTAACTTGGACCATTTACAAAGTCACACTGATCCAAGTTAGACTGAAATGTTGTTGCGAGCTCCTCTCTCCTTTGTGCAGGTTATTTGTGTATCGTTCCAGTCATGGTATTGTGCCTTTTTGTTCTTTATTACCAGGTATGATCTACAAAACTTAGTCTACAGCACAAGTGAAACATCCTCTTAATAAAGTTTTCAATTGATGCTAGTGTCATTTTATCAACTGCAACTTGTCAGTAATCACACGTCATCTGCTGTTACAAGTTGTAGTGACAGACATTTGAGTAGCTGTTGGAAAATTTATGAAGAGAAAGTCTCATTTGTGCAGTAGGCTTTTAACAAGTCTGATAGCTCACACCTTGTGGTAGCATAATTTATAGGCACAAAAGAAGTACATAGTGCCTTGATGCCAGTGAAGGGATCTCACTCCAAGGAATTGGAATACTGTTCCCTCTATTTTATCAAGTCTTATTACCTCAGTAAGGTAGATAAACATTGTAGGTGTTTATTTAGTTACTACAAAAGATTAGGTACTAGCTAAATATGTTTAATGTGTAAATCTGGACCAAATTTAGTTAAGCAACTAAGCTGCCATTTTCTTCCCATGAAATGTGTTATTTAGATCTGGTAAACCTGCCTTTTTGATGCATTTTTAAATACTAAACCATTCTCTGAACATCAGGGCAGGTTGCACAATTACAGTCATTGAAAACATACCACGTACAGGGATAGAACCCACGAACAGAGAGTCTCAGAACTCCAGACCGTCGCGGGTTCTATCCCCGTCCATGGTATGGTTTGTTTGCAGTCGTGTCATTACGATTTCGTGAGTACAGTCATTGAAAATTGACAGTTATGAGAATTTAAAGGTTTAAGTGTTGCATAGGTCTTGTCAGGGAGAAGCTGTATAGCCCTTGTAGCTTAGCGCTTCTTTTTGATTATAATAATAATAATAATTGTCAGGGAGAAACAATATTGTCTTCGCTATTGGTTCATAGAACAGTTTAGCATGAAAAAATGTATATCTACAATGCCGACATAACTAAAAAGGCAGATTTACCAGATAGAATCATCACATCTTGTACAAAGAACATGGCAGCTTAATTACTAAACTGAATATGGTCCCAGCAAATATATTTAACTAGTGATTACTTAACTATTTTGTATTAATAACCAAATATGCATCAACAATTCTAGTCTACCTTATATCTTTTATTTCCCATATATAACAAAAAAAAAAAAGGCACAGTACCATGACTGGAACAATACACAGATAACCTGCACATAGAAGAGAGGAGCTTATGGCGATGTTTTGGTCTGACTTGGACCATTTACAAAGTCACACGAACAGAAAGGAGAGAAGGAGGTAGTATATATATAGCACAGCAGACAGGGACGGGAGCAAGAGAGGTAGTAGTGGAGGTAGTAGTAGTAGTAGTGTAGTTAGTCAAATACTAAGAAAGAGGAGCACTGCAAGGGAGCTAGGGGCCCACAGAGGGTAGGAGCAAGAACACACAAGGGGGAAAAAATAATAAAATAGAAAGAGAAATACCCAAGGCAGAATAAAGAAAACCCAAAGGAAAAGGAGGAAAGGGTAAGAGGGAGAAGGGGAGAAAAGAATCAGGTTAAGTCATGGGTGTTCTGAAGTTTGGAACATTTTACAGGACTAAGATACATACAAGGAAAGTTTTGTATAAGGGAGGATTCAGCTAAATGGCAGCTGTGAAAGTTAGAAGTGGGGTAGACAGTTTTAGCAGAAGACTGATCTCTGACATGACAGAAAAGTGCATTGTTTGTGTCGGCAAGCCTAACACTACTTTTGTGCTCCCTAAGTCTGTCAGAAAGAGATCGGCCAGTTTCTCCAAAGTACTGAAGAGGACAGGAGGAACAAGAAATAGAGTAGACACCAGGAGCATAGGTATGAACTAGGTAAGTGCGAAGAGTGTTAATCTAACGAAAAGTAAGTTTGATGTGTAAGGAACGGAGAGAGTTGTTGAGATTAGAAAGACTGGAAATGTAGGGAAGGCAGAGGACAGGAGAGTTCACAGGAGTAGAGAGTTTGGGAGAGAAAAAAGGCAGAGTCTATGAAATAGGAAGGGTAGCCAAAACAGGAAAATGAATTATGAAGAGTGGAAATTTCTGATTCAAGGAACTGAGGATCACAAATGCAGAGAGCACAGAGAAAGAGGGAGATAAGAAGATTTTTCTTGATAGAGGAAGCATAAGAAAAGTAGTGAATGTACATGCCACTGTGCATAGGCTTCTGGTAAATGGAAAAGGCAAAACTTGTATCTAAGCGGTGGACATGAACATCAAATACAGGTTTTGCCTTTTCCATTTACCGCAAACCTATGCACAGTGGTATGTACATTCACTAATGTGCATTAGTGCATGTACATTAGTGAATGTACATGCCACTGTGCATAGGTTTGGAGTAAACGGAAAAGGTCTGTATTTGATGTTCATGTCCACCACTCAGATACAGGTTTTGTCTTTTCTGTTTACCAGAAACCTATGCAAAGTGGCATGTGCATTCACTACTTTTCTTATCATGCTTCCTCTATCAAGAAAAATGTTCTTATCTCCCTCTTTCTCCTTGCTCTCCGCATTTGTGATTCTCAGTTCCTTGAATCAGAAATTTCCACTCTTCATAATTCATTTTCCTGTCTTGGCTACCCTTCCCATTTCATAGACTCTGCCTTCTTACATGCTAAATGGACTTTCTTCTCTCCCAAACTCTCTACTCCTGTGAACTCTCCTGTCCTCTGCCTTCCCTACATTTCCGGTCTTTCTAATCTCAACAAAACTCTCTCTCTGTTCCTTAGACATCAAACTTACTTTTCACCAGACTAACACTCTTCACACTAATCTAGTTCATACCTCTCCTTCCTCTATAGATGCTTCTGGTGTCTACTCTATTTCTTGTTCCTTCTGTCCTCTTCATTACTTTGAAGAAACTGGCCGATCTCTTTCTGACAGACTTGGGGAGCACAAAAGTAGTGTTAGGCTTGCTGACACTAACAATGTTTTTTTCTGTCATATCAGAGATCACAGTCATCCTACTGACTGGTCTTCTGCTAAACTGTCTACCCTACTTCTAACTTTCACGGTTGCCATTTGGTTGAATCCTCCCTTATACACAACTTCTCTTGTATGTATCCTACTCCTGGCTTTGTCTCTGTAGATGCCTTCCTTTCCCATTACGTACATTGTAAAATGCTCCAAACTTCAGAACACCCTTGACTTAATCTGATTCTTTTTTTCCCCTTCTCCCTCTTACCCTTTCCTTTTTTTTCCTTTCTTCTGCCTTGGTATTTGTTCTCTTATTATTTTATTTTTCCCCTCTGTGTTCTTGCTCTTACCCTCTGTGGGCCCCTAGCTCCTCTTTCTTAGTATTTAAGTGACTACATTATGTACCACTACTACCTCCACTACTACCCCTCTTGCTCACGTCCCTGTCTACTGTGCTTTTTATACTCCCTCCTCTCCTTTCTGTTCGTGTGACTTTGTAAATGGTCCAAGTTGCACCAAAACGTTGTCGTAAGCTCCTCTCTTCTATGAGTGGGTTATCTCTGTATTTCCCATATGCTTTGGGGTGCTTCCCTATTATACAGTAAAAAAAAAAAAATTGAAACTGATCATTGATGTCGTCATCTGTCAGTGCCATCCAAGCTCAGCAGTTGTTAGTTAAGAAGTTCCACATTACCAAATGATGGAAGGTCAGGGATGATTGACCTGAAGTCCTCAATGGTACAGCAGAAGGTCCCTCCCCGTGTCAAATCAGAGGTGTTCCACCTCACCCACGAGAGCTCACTGCACAGGCTGTGGCAAGGAGCATCATACAGGCTCCTGGAATCCAAAGTTCCGTAACCTCTTACATCGTTGACCATAATTATGGCTGTAGCTGTATGAGAGACTGGATCATGAACCACCTGCAATTGATGACTATGTTGTAATATGTTTTCCTTAACATCTACTATTTAATGAAATTTCATCAAATGTATGTGGTTGAAAACAGACTACAACCTCGCCTCACTTAGCTATGTATTCTTTTACCAATGACTTGGACTTACGACGGGCTCTCTGACCAGTATGCATACCTAAACAATGTATATTAGAGCCGATATTCTGTTTATTACAATGTACAGTACACTATTGTGTAAACATTTAAAAATATACCAGAAATGTTATAAATGGTGCAAAGGTGACATTAGAACAATATCGAAGATGGTTGATACAAACCCATTACCATTAGGGATGCTCCTCGCTGAGTGCCGAATTCATTTACCAATGTGGTCTTAGGAACGGAACTCAGTCATTAAGTGAGGAGAGGCTGTACAGTATATTTACATATCACCCATCAAGAATGGTGTCTATTATTTAGAGAGTGCTAAACTAGTGGGGAATTGGAGGTAATCAGGCTGATTCAAGGAGGAGAGGACAAGTCCAATTTTTTTTATTATCAAAAGCTCTTCATTAGTATCAGAGAACCTGGCTGCCATGAGGAGCAAGGTTCCTTTATGCCAGTGAGGCATTCTTGAGCTAAGGAATTAGACCTGCCCTGCCCTTCCATTTATATTACTGAACCCGAGTGCCTCCCATTATTCCAGGTACTGTGACCTCTATGATTTTAGCATTTCCCCCCATGAGTGCAATAATCCACCTCTGATCAAACCTAATCACAATCTATTCCCACCCATTTTAAGCTAGTGAGCTCTTTATTCAAGGAACTAAACCTCTCCTCCCCTTCCTTGGAATAAACCTATGTGTTTAGCACTTCCCTCTTATTTAAAAGGATCCTCCCCTCGTATTGAACCTAATTGCCTCCTGTTACCCGGGGACTGAATGGCCCCTGTGAATTTAGTGCTCTCCCCAATGATCCCTTCCTTGGATCAAATCTAATTACCTATTCCATAGATATATAACCTATTTAGGTTTAGCACTTCTCCCTGAATATAAAAATAAATGCTTTAGAGTACAACCTTCCACATCAGGCCAGGAACACGTGCCAAAAATAGGTTATAAATAAGGCCAAGGAAGATCTTGGTGGGTCTGCCATGTCGGTGTGGCAGCATCAGAGTGCCATGAGTGCCACTCCAGACCTCCAGCGTCACATCTCGTATCTTAGCCAGGTTCCGTACAGCAAACTCCAGCGACTGCAAAGAGGAAGTGTTACTTCTACTTCAATCAGTGGAAGGCGCTAATTCCATAGGGGTTATACGAGACGCTGAGAAGAAAAACGACAAACATAATAAACATCACTTTGTGAAAATCTACAAACTTCTGCATCCTAAAGAAAAATGAATTCACCATATGTCACATTTGAGATCGCTTACAAATGTTTGCAACAATATCTCTGTAACCAGGAATAAAATCTTGATCAACCTGGTCTTATTTTAAAGACCAATTATCATTTTTGGATGGAAAACAATTTTTGCTAGCTATGCACATTTTTCTCACTGGCGATGCTGTATAACCCTTGTGGGTTTAAAGTTTAGTTTGATTATAATAATAATTCCTCACTGGCAAATTCATCCAATTTCTTCTCAGCACCTCGTAGTGCCTGGGGAATGGAAAGCATTTGTTTGGTTCAAGGAAGGGGAGGATAGGTCCAGTTCTTTTGATCAAGAGCCTCTCACTAGCATCAAGAAACTTTATTTGAAGGGATTTGTATCATGATAAGAGACCTTTCAGTTATGAGTCCTGTAATGTGTCAGGTGCTGTGTGACTGAGTTTAGGGCTTTTATCTGGTAAAAAAAAAAATGAAATGGTTTCTCATTAAAGTCCCTTCAAGAGGGATGGGGTGCCTGTTGGTGAAGGGCTCCTAATGCAAGAAATTGGCATTACCTTTCACTTTCTTGCCTCAAATCTGAATACTGTACCTCTTTTTCCCCAAGCACTATATGACCCCTATGGGTTTAGCATTTTTCCAAGATTCCCATGGTGTTGAATAAGACATGCAACACTCAGATATCTTATTGCTAAAACATTATGCATATGCACCAGGCTTTAGTCAAATTCAGAGGCAACTTTCATACTAGAGACATTGGAAGAGGGGGAAAGATAATTTTAAGGTGTTCAGTCCCTCACCAGAGGGATTGAACACCTAACTAGAGGTTTCAGTATACAAGTCTCATACTTCATGCCTCTGCCTAAAGCTAAGGGACTGAACACCCAAGGAAACCTTAAAACTATCTCTTCACTTTCCCTAATGTCTCCAGTATGAAAGTTGCCTCTGTATCTGACTGAAGAAACCTGCCATATTGTAGAAAGATTTTGGTAATATAGATACCCAAGTGTGTCATATAAGTTATTTATCAATTTGTCATTACTGTATACCATTAGCTATTACTTCCAGTTATGAAACCTCACCTTCCAGTTGCCATTGTTAATAGCTTGCCACTGTGGGACAACATTAGCATAATAGTAGGTGGCATCCTGCTCTGCCTCCAACACAAAATCTGCATCTGGGGCCAGGTGACCCTTGGCCAGGTAGTGCCCATTCACACCTGTGAGGTGCTCTGTGGTGTTCAGCAGGCTCTGCAGTAGGAACATCTGTGTGGATTTCAAGTAGGAGTTCCTTATCCTAAATGGGAACAGTGCGGCATCCCTGAAGCTGGGTCGTGGTGGGTCTACCACTTTAGCATCAATGTTCCTGGTGGCATCAATGGAAACTAGTCACAATTTTAACTATTCCTTATGTACACATGTAAATTAAATCTATCTTGGACACCACAGGCTAATATTAGGATAGTTGGAAGGCAGAGTACCAACAAGTATGGCTCATACAAAGACATTTAGTATATTAGAGCAGAGAATAATTGTCATCAAGATACTTTGCTCATGATTTAATGAAGTCTCTTTGTATTGTATAAGCCTTACTTCGTTTATGCATCTTTGTTTCACCAATTGAAGGCTTTTGCCATCTACTACTGATTCTCTTGCCACAGTGCTGCAGACAAAATGTTCTCTTTTGTAAACTTTTCATGTACTCTTTTGGGAAGCCTGTCTTCCATGTACTCTCACAGAAGTTACCTTCCTGTACTCTGACAGCCTGTTTTACATTCATGAACTCGTGGGGAAGCCAGTCCTACTTTCATATACTCTAGTGGGAAGCATTACCTCCATGAATTCTTGTGGACAGCCTGTCTCCCCTTCACATACTTTTGCAGACAACCTGTCTTACTGTCAGGACCTTACCTGCCATGGATCTTGTGGAAGGCAAATTGGGTGGTTCCTTGGTGATGACTGAAGCAGAGGCTTATCTGAGGAATGAAAGTACCTCGGATGATATCCCAGCCAATGGTGATGTTGACGCCGTCTTGGCTACACCTGGCACCCTGCCGCAACACGGGCTCGGGCTTCTTGTGGCAGCTCAGCTCACCCCATCTCACTACTTGCTGATAAAGTACCAATGGAAAAGATGAGGCAACTTGTGGAAGTCACTTCATATAAAAATGCATTTTTTCATCCTTATTTCAGTTTGTAGTGGCACTGAATGACCCACATGAATTTTTATGCTGCTTATGAATATAATGAGCTATAATATCCAATAAGAATTCAATGAAATATACAATGCAAAAATTCAGTAAGAAATGATAATGTCCTGAAACTGAATTGAAAGCATAAAGATCTGTTATAAACTCAAAGATTGTGGGTTAGTGCTCTGTGAATATAATTTATAATAGAAAAAATATTTAATGAGTTGAGGGTAAGAAAATATGAATGCAGAGGAACTTACAGATTGGAGGGAGAATGAAGGAAGTTAATGTACAGGAGGGCTCAGCTTATACAGCAGGTAACCCTCAAGGGAGGTTCCTTGATGCTGGTGAGGGGCTCTTGATCTAGGGAATTGGATCTGTGCTCCGGTTCCCTGAATTTAATCTGAATACCTTCCATCCCCCCCACATGCGCTGTATAATCCTATGGGTTTAGCGCTCCCCCATGATTATAATAATTATTATACAGCAGTTTAGGTTCTGTGCTACTGCTGTAAAGCAAAAATCGCTGTAAAATGAAACAGCCTTTGTTCATTGTCAAATGCATATAAAAGCCTGATAACATGTTTACACTATCATATATTAAGTAAGCAATAGAGCTTGACCTAAAAAAAATGCATATACACTACACACATTACTTACTTAAAATATTTTCATCCTTAGCTTATATTTATTGCAGGAAGTCTGAATAAACGAAGAATGGGTATAACTGAAAAGTGCTGCATTAGCGCAACACTGTAAAGTGAAGCACTGTAAAGCAGAGCCTGCCTGCAGTGTGTTTTAGACATCTGGGAGTGGATGTGTTGGTAGATGGGTCTATGATGGCCGAGGCAAACTAGACTAGATGAGGAAGAATGGTGGGTTGTGTGTGGAGTTATCTGTGGAGACAAAAAATTTCATTTATGGAGGCAAAAATGGGAATGTGCCAGAACATAGTGGTACCAACACTTACATAGGTTAAAGACAAAGAATTGGAACATTACAGTTAGGAAGAGGCGGTTGGAAACAGTGAGAATGTCATGTGTGTGAGGATAATATGAAGTAAATATTAAACAGAGAATCTGGATTACAGAAATTCGAAGACTGTGTGAAGACTATATAATTCAGAGGGCTGAGGGGTTGTTGGGCATTTAGAGAGGGTGGGGCTGAATAGAATGAACAAGGTGTATAAATCAGGGTGGAAGGAAGGAGGGGGGTAGGGGTCATCCCAGGAAGAGTTGGAGGGAGGGGATAAAGGAGGTTTTGAGTGCTAGAGACTTGATCATCTAGCAGGCTCGTGCAAGTATGTTAGATCACAGAGAAGACAAGAAGTTTTTATGGCTTGATGTGCTGTTGGAGTCTGAGCAAAGTAACATTTATGAAGGTATTCAGGGAAACCAATTAGTTGCATGTGAGTCCTAGAAATGTTAATTAAGTACAGTACCTACATTCTCAGATAGGGATAACGGTGACACAGCCCGAAGCGTCACACTTCTGGCAAGACAGCCATTGAATGAAGGATGGTGAATGTGTGAGGGAGAATTAGCTCTCTCCTTATGCATAAATTAAACATTTACAAAAGGATTCAGGAAAACCAGTTAACTAGACTTGAGCTGTGGAGGTGGGAAATACAATGCCTGCACTCTGAAGGAGGAGGGAGGATATTGTGGTCTGGAGGGGCATCTGAGCTGTAATATCGGTGCTCTCTGGTAAGATGGTGATGGCATGGCATGAGGAATGGTAAAAGCATTTCTTTTTTTTCGGGTCACCCTACCTGGTGGATGTGTTAAAAAAAAAAACTTACTCTTTCTCCAAACTTTAGATCAGCATCATCACAACTGATATAAGCGTAAGACATCTTATTTATAGATCTTCCTAAGACGGTTCCATTGAGGGTGATGTCGTTGTTCTCCCCAGGACAGGCGATGATGGCAAGGGCATTGTGGGAGAGGTGCATCACCCTGGATTGTCCTTCCAGCACTGGGTAGAGGAATTGTTGGGTGTCGTTCCTTCTAACTATCAGCGGCCGGATGTGTCTAGGTGGAACATCATCGAAGTCGATCCTGCAGTCCCCTGCAGAAATATTTATATAAAATAAATTGTCACCAGCTCCCTCCAAAAATTTTGTTATCACAAGTTATATACACTGATGGTTCTAAACAGGAGTCTTCTGGCAGAGCTGCATCTGCTCTTGTTGCCACCTCCCTAGTTAAGAACGATTATAAATTTGTTGAGTTAGGCATAAGAATTAACAACTGGGCATCTACACTGCAAACTGAATTGTTTGCAATCCTAATGGCGCTAAAGCTAACCTATGACACTGAGCTTGACTTTATCATCATTACTGATTCTATGTCATCATTGAAGGCTCTTGACTCATATAATGACTCCAACAACATGCTCATTGGAGAAGCCAGGTATAGATACTCAAAAATTAGGGACAAAGGAATTAATGTACAATTGCTATGGATCCTATCACACATTGGACTACTCCTTCATGATAAAGTTGATATGTTAGCCAAGAAGAGTACCCAGAAGAAGAATGTAGAATAATATGTTTTATGAAGCAAAGTGCAATGTGAATAGACTGACTGAAGTTGTAGGGGCCAGGCTTAGGCTTGGTTACAAGTACTTCTGGCAGTTTGGGAGACACACAGATGATGATCAAACTAAATGTAAATTATGTGATCGGGTATATGGTTACTGTCTTGAACACTATGTGCTTAATTATCCACTTATTGAGAAATAAAGAGACAGACAGTATAATAACCTATGTGACATGTCAAGATATCTTATTAATGAAAATAAGATACCAGATATACTAAGCAAATTTCATAAATTTGCTTGTAACAGATAAGTGAACTGTAGATATGTAGATATAAATCCATATGTATTCCTGTTATCCCTTTTGGGCCTAGTTCCTAGGCCTTTTGTGTATCCATATGTTCTTGCGCTACCGTCCACAGGATGGATATGGGGCGCACATTAAACTAGCCACTTCAGTGGCAAAATCTAAAATCTAAATCATGTGTTGTGGCCTAAAGATGGATTCTGAGCAATTCTGAGAAGCCTTGTCAGCCATTTTCATACATCCCATAGCCCCAGAAGCTTTTTGGGTCATGAGACGGGACAATAGAATTACAGCTGGTTGCTGCTGACAACCGTCACAGAAATACTGTGAAACATTGAGCCTTGTACCTCAGTGGCACAGTGCTGGACTTGCTATTTGCCAGGACCATGGTTTGAGTCCTCATCTATTCTTCTGTTTATGTGTGTGTGTGTACTCACCTAATTGTACTCGCCTAATTGTGGTTGCAGGGGTCGAGACTCAGCTCCTGGCCCCGCCTCTTCACTGATCGCTACTAGGTCCTCTCCCTCTCTGCTTCCTGAGCTTTGTCATACCTCTTCTTAAAACTATGTATGGTTCCTGCCTCCACTACTTCACTTGCTAGGCTATTCCACTTCCTGACGACTCTATGACTGAAGAAATACTTCCTAACGTCCCTGTGACTCGTCTGAGTCTTCAGCTTCCAGTTGTGACCCCATGTTTCTGTGTCCCCTCTTTGGAACATCCTATCTCTGTCCACCTTGTCTGTTCCCCGCAGTATCTTGTATGTTGTTATCATGTCTCCCCTGACCATTCTGTCCTCCAGTGTCGTCAGTCCAATTTCCCTCAACCTTTCCTCGTACGACATTCCCCTGAGCTCTGGGACTAGCCTTGTTGCAAACCTTTGTGCTTTCTTTAACTTCTTGACGTGCTTGACCAGGTGTGGGTTCCAGACTGGTGCTGCATACTCCAGTATGGGCCTAACATACACAGTGTGCAGTGTCTTGAACGATTCCTTATTAAGGTATCGGAACGCTATTCTCAGGTTTGCCAGGTGCCTGTATGCTGCAGCAGTTATTTGGTTGATGTGTGCCTCCGGTGACGTGCTCGGTGTTATGGTCACCCCAAGGTCTTTCTCCCTGAGTGAGGTCTGTAGTCTCTGTCCACCTAGCCTATACTCTGTCTGCGGTCTTTTTTGCCCCTCCCCAATCTTCATGACTTTGCATTTGGCAGGGTTGAATTCGAGAAGCCAGTTTCTGGACCACATGTCCAGGTCTCTTTGCAGTCCTGCCTCATCCTCATCCGATTTAATTCTTCTCATCAACTTCACATCATGTGCGAATAGGGACACTTCGGAGTCTATTCCTTCCATCATGTTCGCATATATCAAAAATAGCACTGGTCCTAGAACTGACCCCTGTGGGACCCTGCTCGTCACAGGTGCCCACTGTGATACCTCTTCACGTACCATGACTCGTTGCCTCCCTGTCAGGTATTCCCTGATCCATTGCAGTGCCCTCCCTGTTATATGCGCTTGATTCTCCAGCTTCTGCACTAATCTCTTGTGGGGAACTGTGTCAAAGGCCTTCCTGCAATCTAGGAAAACGCAATCAACCCATCCCTCTCTCGTGTCTTACTTCTGTTACCTTGTGTGTGTGTGTGTGTGTGTGTGTGTGTGTGTGTGTGTGTGTGTACTCACCTAGTTATACTCACCTAGTTGAGGTTGCAGGGGTCGAGTCCAAGCTCCTGGCCCCGCCTCTTCACTGGTCGCTACTAGGTCACTCTCCCTGAACCATGAGCTTTATCGTACCTCTGCTTAAAGCTATGTATGGATCCTGCCTCCACTACATCGCTTCCTAAACTATTCCACTTCCTGACTACTCTGTGGCTGAAGAAATACTTCCTAACATCCCTTTGATTCATCTGTGTCTTCAGCTTCCAACTGTGTCCCCGTGTTGCTGTGTCCAGTCTCTGGAACATCCTTTGCCCACCTTGTCAATTCCTCAGTATTTTGTAAGTCGTTATCATGTCCCCCCTATCTCTCCTGTCCTCCAGTGTCGTCAGATTGATTTCCCTTAACCTCTCCTCATAGGACATACCTCTTAACTCTGGGACTAGTCTTGTTGCAAACCTTTGCACTTTCTCTAGTTTCTTTACATGCTTGGCTAGGTGTGGGTTCCAAACTGGTGCCGCATACTCCAATATGGGCCTAACGTACACGGTGTACAGGGTCCTGAACGATTCCTTATTAAGATGTCGGAATGCTGTTCTGAGGTTTGCCAGGCGCCCATATGCTGCGGCAGTTATTTGGTTGATGTGCGCTTCAGGAGATGTGCCTGGTGTCATACTCACCCCAAGATCTTTTTCCTTGAGTGATGTTTGTAGCCTCTGGCCCCCTAGACTGTACTCCATCTGCGGTCTTCTTTGCCCTTCCCCAATCCTCATGACTTTGCACTTGGTGGGATTGAACTCCAGGAGCCAGTTGCTGGACCAGGTCTGCAGCCTGTCCAGATCCCTTTGTATTTCTGCCTGGTCTTCGATCGAATGAACTCTTCTCATCAACTTCACGTCATCTGCAAACAGGGACGCCTCGGAGTTTATTCCTTCCGTCATGTCGTTCACAAATACCAGAAACAGCACTGGTCCTAGAACTGACCCCTGTGGGACCCCGCTGGTCACAGGTGTCCACTCTGACACCTCGCCACGTACCATTACTCGCTGCTGTCTTCCTGACAAGTATTCCCTGATCCATTGCAGTGCCTTCCCTGTTATCCCTGCTTGGTCCTCCAGTTTTTGCACTAATCTCTTGTGTGGTACTGTGTCAAACGCCTTCTTGCAGTCCAAGAAAATGCAATCCACCCACCCCTCTCTCTCTTGTCTTACTGCTGTCACCATGTCATAGAACTCCAGTAGGTTTGTGACACAGGATTTCCCGTCTCTGAAACCATGTTGGCTGCTGGTGATGAGATCATTCCTTTCTAGATGTTCCACCATTCTTCTCCTGACAATCTTTTCCATGATCTTGCATGCTATACATGTCAGTGACACTGGTCTGTAGTTTAGTGCTTGATGTCCGTCTCCTTTTTTAAAGATTTGGACCACATTTGCTGTCTTCCATGCCTCAAGCAATCTCCCTGTTTCAATAGATGTATTGAATATTGTTGTTAGGGGTACACATAGCGCCTCTGCTCCCTCTCTCAGGACCCATGGAGAGATGTTATCTGGCCCCATTGCCTTTGAGGTATCTAGCTCACTCAGAAGCCTCTTCACTTCTTCCTCGGTTGTGTGTACTGTGTCCAGCACATGGTGGTGTACCCCACCTCTCCGTCCTTCTGGAGCCCCTTCTGTCTCCTCTGTGAACACTTCTTTGAATCTCTTGTTGAGTTCCTCACATACTTCACGGTCATTTCTTGTTGTCTCTCCTCCTTCCTTCCTTAGCCTGATGACCTGGTCCTTGACGGTTTTCTTCCTGATGTGGCTGTATAACAGCTTCGGGTCAGATTTGGCTTTTGCTGCTATGTCGTTTTCATATTGACGTTGGGCCTCCCTTCTTATCTGTGCATATTCGTTTCTGGCTCTACGACTGCTCTCCTTATTCTCTGGGGTCCTTTGCCTTCTATATTTCTTCCATTCCCTAGCACACTTGGTTTTTGCCTCCTTGCATCTTTGTGTGTGTGTGTGTGTGTGTGTGTGTGTGTGTGTGTGTGTGTGTGTGTGTGTGTGTGTGTGTGTACTCACCTATTTGTGGTTGCAGGGGTCGAGTCCTAGCTCCTGTGTGTGTGTGTGTGTGTGTGTGTGTGTGTGGTGTGTGTGTGTGTGTGTGTGTGTGTGTGTGTGTCGCACACCCATTCAAAATAATAAATGCAAGAAAGCCATAAGGAAAGTTGTAACAGCTCGAAGCCTCTCACTGTCATCACTGCTTCTTCAGGAGCTTTACAATGAGGAAACTGAAAAATGAAATTGAAAAATCTCAGATTCATTACAGTAATGCATTAACCGTCATCTTAACTCCTTTCCTGTGTTGGGGACCAACCAAAACTGGCTGTTTATCCCCCTTACTGCTATGCAGAAGGGTAATGGAGCGAGTAGGTCTCCCAACTGGACGACCTCTGACGAGGGAATTTCATTCTTGCCGAACAAGACTAATTTTTTGCTGCAACCAGCTGAAACAAACGGGAAAAAGACTAAGGAAATGCTCTTGAACGGCTGCCAAGACTACATCTCCTTACACTAAGTTAAAAGCATC